TGGGGGGGCGTTGGGGGGGTGGGAGGCAGGAAAAAGAGAGGAGACCTCCCTGGGTGCCACCAGCCTTGTGTCGTCCCCCCCTGCCACCTTGCGTAACCCAGCAGCAGGCAGGACACTTGGCGTTTTTTTCTGGTTAATCCATATTCGACCTTTTCAAGCTGCGTTTCAGTGCGTGTGTGCGCGGGGCCCTCACCATTGCCCCGGCCCCCAGCCCCCGGCCCGCAACTGTTGCTGTTGGAGGCGCGGGCGAGGAAAAGGAGGGTGATGAGGAAGAGGAGGGTGATGCTGGGTGGTGGCAGATGAAGGTTGAAAGGCGACGGTGCTTTCCGGGGATGCCAGCGCTTCTCCCTCCCGAGTCATCCCCCCTGCATGGGGACGGGGATGGCGACAAGCTGGCTTTGGGGAGGTTTTGCTGCTTTCCCTCCTTTTGGGGGGCTCCGCCGAGGTCTCCTTGCTCCACAGGGGTGTCCCCTATCCAGGCAATGACAAGCCCTGGCACAACCTTGTGCCCTCCCCGGTGCCCCCCATCCTCCCCACGCAGCTCACGCTAGGTTCGGGTTTGCTCTGTCCTTTCTGTCCATCGGCAGCGGTTCCCCCTCCCCTGGCGCAGGCTGCGCCTTCCCTGTGGTTTCATGCTTGGAGGCTTTTTTGAAGGATAAGGTTTCTCTTTCTCCAGAGATATTTTGCGTTTTGGGTTTTTATTTCTCCCTTTCCTGAGGTCAAAATATCTGCATGAGCTCTCCCCCTCTCGGAGCAGGGGAGGGAGGGATGGAGGGAGGGCAAAAAGGAGGTTTAAAATTAGGAGCAAACTTTCCCTGTTGCATTAAAATGACATTTCAGAGGGTGGCAGGAGGTAAGGGCTCGATCGGTGCCTTTAGCGGGAGGTTTCTGCGAGTGTTTGGTGTGTCAGGTGAAGCTGTGCCTAGGAAAGGGGTTAACCTGCTCAAAACCACCCCAAAGCAACAAAAAGCAAGTGCTAAAGCCACTGAGCAGCTCCATGGGTGTCCTCTGGTCCCTGGCGAGGCTGCTGGGAGGTGGCGTTGCCATGACCGGGCTCCCAGCCGGGGCCACCTTCCTCTTGCTCCAGCCCGGCCACCGGCCCTTCGCCGGGCTGGAAAACCTCCCTTTTGGGAAGGTGTTTTCCCAACTGAGCAATTCTGCAGTGCTTGCTACAAGAGGTTGAAACATGCAGGTTGTTTTTAAAGTCCGTGGGGGCTTTGCTGTGTTGTGCTGAGCCCAAGAGCAGCCCCGGCTCTGGCAGTGGTGCAGGGATGGGCTCGGTTCCTCTGCTTCCACCAGTTTCCTGCAATTTGCCTTCCCCACCCTCATCCCCAAAAAAACACATTTTCCCGCACCCCTCTAGCTTGCCCCTTGAAAAAACAGGCACGGAGTTGGCTGGGTTGGACAAGCTGGCTGCTCTTTGCATCCCGAATCCGGCCATTTTGGAGCAGCCCTGTCTGCGACCCAGGCATGGAGCCCCTGCCAGCCACAGGCTTCCTGGCCCTAAATGCCTCCATCCTCCTCTGCAGCCACCAAGGGCTGTGGCGAGCGGCTCGGCTCCAGCCGGCGGCACCGGGTTCCTGGGAGGGATGGAAATTCGTTCCCCTGGTTGTCTCAGCAATGGCTGAATGATGTGATGTGCCCATGCCCACCTCCCCTCTGCCATTGCCATCGCGCTCCGGCTGTGAGGGACGGGGATGCTTTCCACCTGCGACTCGGTCCGGTGGGAAACCAGTTTGCTCAAACCTGCCCCCAGTTGCAGCAGGGAGTGGAGCAGCCCCTTCAGCAGCAGTGCTTGGCATCACAGGAGGGGTTTGCTGGCCTGTGCTTGGATTACTCGGTGCTAGAAGAGACTCCCAAGCATGGGGCAGAGCTGGGTTGAGGAAGAGGAGGATAAGAGGGATGGGTGAGGTGCCAGGGCTGGCACGAGCAAACCTGATCAGTTACCACGAGGGCCCAGAGTATATTTAAACGTCCTTGAGGAGGGCTCAGAGGGGCAGAGCTGCTGGGAGAGTGGCTCTGTTTGTTTTGGGTGGCGTGTTGCTCCTCTTCCTCTCTGCTCGGGTAGCTGATGCTGGATTCCCAATGAATTATTTATCACGGGACTAAAAATACTCGGGAATTCACAGCGAGGAGCGGGCGGTGCAGGCCGCCCCGCCGCCGGGCTGGCCGTGCCGGAGCGCGGGACG